AGGGGCAGGAGGTGGGGCGAAACAAGTTTTAACCTAGCACAACAAGGCTCGCATTGCAAGCACACAAGCCCGAACTTCACACCCAATTGCAAAACACCCACGGATTCAGCCTTGAAGTTCGATTCGGGCGAACTTTGCTCGCATGAACTCTAATTGCAGTGAAATTTTCTCGGAAAACTGTGGCCTTTGTGAGTCATTAGGGGAGTTCACTGCTGTAGGTAGCATGTTGGTGGCGTGAGCTCATCGCCGTTTCAAAAATGTTTAGCTCATTGCCTGGCTACCTTTCTCCGTGTTTCTACTTGCCACACTTCCCCACAATTAAAGTTGCATTTCGCGTGAATTGAAAGTCGCCGACCTCGAAGACAAAGTGGGGGAAATATAACAAAAGGCCAGAATCGAATTTCTTCTTGTTCTAAAGAATCTGTGGTGGGGATTTCGTGTAAGACGTGTCCACATGTATTATGCATTATAGTTTACAATAGCACCGGAGATCATCATACGGGCATCGTGATACTGCACGTTGTGACGCAATTTAAGACCGGGTAGATGACGTCAGAGCGGTGGCTGTGACAAAGTCCAGAGCCTGACCTTAAATGTATTCTAGTTGAAATGATGCAACACTAGCTAACTGTGGGTTTTAAGTTAACTGTAAAGCAGGCCTAATTAAATTCTATTCTATAATCGAGAGAATTAGGAATAATCGAGAGAAATCGATAAGTAATCGAGAATTTTGTTATCGCGCGGTGTTTTTTACCATAGTTGTTTGGCTATCGATGTTTATATTGAAAATAGAACAAAAATCGATGTCTGTTTATGGTTTACTTATTTTATGAAGTACCTTATCAACACATCTATTTTAATATTGAGGACAAAAGAAGACCTGCTTTTAGGTCACATATTATTTCTTCTTTCGGTTGCTTATGCTGCATTGTTTGAAGTCACGAGTCCATCGCTAGAGCTGTGAGGGCCATAAACTACAGACCAGACTAGATCTACTGATAGACACGGAGCACCAACGGCGACTCAGCGGGTGCCTTTGCGGCAGTGCCACGTCTAATTAGCACTTAACTGGCCCGAACCATTTGGGGTTGGGATAGAAAAAGTGACCGACCGACTGGCCGACTCCGGCCGACCCCCGATATTGTATCGATTCTGACGTCAATTGTTTGAAAATTGCGGTGCTGTGCATTGTCAATGCAATTAGACGGACTGAGCAACAGATCATGATACATCTATTGCTGGATAATGACGCGTTGCACCTACTTAAGCATTGGTTATGGATACTTGAACAGACCCGCACATGAATCGCAGCGGACATCTGTGATTCCATGATTCCATAAGAGATCAGGGAAAGACTTCAAAAAGGCACGTGGCCAGAACACACTTTTGTGTGCAAGAGATTAATAGATATATGTGTAGTGTGAAACCAGACTTAGGCCGATATTTACCCATATTTCTGGCGATTCCAGTGCCAGCATTATGCAACCATCTTTGTATTCCCTTAACCGATTGTCTGTTGTTCTTATCGCCTGATGTCTGGCTGTCGAGGAAAAGTAAATTATTTAACACTATTCTTAGGGATTGTTTTTCCAGTTCGCTTCAACTGAAACTCCCCACACTTGGACAAATAACAGAGGCCGAACAAATCGAGTGGTAAAAACCCAACACAACCCGGCCAGGCCAATAGGTTGTATTTTTATCTTATCTGTCATGCTTTTTATGGTCTTGTTTATGGGTTCTGCATTTTGTTGTTCACTAAAAGGGGAAGAGTAAAGCCAGCCAGCGAGGAGCTCGGCAAAAGTCAAGCCATTCGATCCGCACATCGGGCGAAATGAAGCTACATTAATGTCATTAAGTCATTAAGTTGTCTTAGCAAATCAACCTATCATCGCTATCATGTTGTTTTTCACAACTTTTTCTTCAACTGTTGAGATTGGTTGGGAAATTTTGGGGCTTTATGATATCCGCACTGCGAAGAAAAACGAAAGCCTTTTTTTATGGGCTCTAAAAACAATTGTAAGAAGAAATTATGAATGTAAAGGCGTAAAGTGTTAGATAGCCAATAATTCATTAAACCTTCGATTCGCTATATCAGAATTCATACACCATCAAGGTTTAGCTTACATTCCTCCATGACTACAGCACTCCAGTAGTTTAAGTTGATAAGTAGTTTATAATACATATTTCCTCTATTTCTATTGTTTGCGCCAGTTCAAATCGATTGTTAAATATTGGTATAATCTAAAAACCTTATCAATCTACTTGAGCATGGGAGGAACAACCTAATCATTGGCGCCATGGTTTCTGCTCTGATTTTTTTGTTCAATTTAAAGAAAACATTGTTTTCTTCAGTAAACGCAAGAGAGATTAGCATGGAAAGTAGAACGTGTGAGTAGCTGTCTAGCCTCAGATTGTATTTCGTAGAGCAATAAGCAATGACAAAGTCTGCGATCGCATGTTCTGTTTCTTATCATCATTACATGTTGATCGCGGCTAAATAAAACAAAGAAATGCAATGAAAAATCCAAAATAAGTGACGTCACTCGATGTGATTGATAAGTGCTAAAGAAATAATAAAGGGAAAATAAAAACGATTGTTTAAGGAAGCAAAACGCTTCCGTATCATTTCTTATGCATTTGTAAAACAGGAAAAGACTGTCGCAGAGGCTGGTGCAAATAAATTACATTTCATTTGACGCGCCTTTGTTGGGCGTAGGCAACAAATGACTAAAAAACTCATCTTTTTTTCTGACTCAGGCAAGGAATACGCCACAATCCGTAGAATCAGCAGTCCGTAATCCGCAATCTGTTTGCTCATGTCCACTACGTGACAAGTGAACCAAACGGAATGAGTTTATATACTATATATATGTATATATACGAAAGCAGATCAAGAAATGGGAAGTGTCCTAAAATATGACTGATATGCGACATCTGCTTGGGGTTAGAGAACTTTCCTGAATAAAATTGGGGCTACACCTGGCGGAAAATGTAATAGAGCATCATGAATCAGGTGAAATATACTTATTTATAATTATAATATATTAAATTAGTTTACGTCACTTGAAAAAGTTAAAAAGATAACAAATGGCGGAGATTTGTATCATGACTCAAGTGAAATATACTTATTTATAATTATAAGAAATTAAATTAGTGTACGTCACTTGAAAAAGTTAAAAAGATAACAAAAGGAGGAGATTTGTATCGCAAATTGCCAGATTGCCAATTTTATTTCGGTGATTGAGTTGAGTAATTTTCATAATTATCTGCAAGCATATTCACATTCTTGGCTTTATTTGGTTTTGAATTGGCAAACAATTTATGGCATATTTGAAGTGTGGCATTTGTCCGCTCTGGGTTGTGAGATAAGCAATCCACACAGAAAAAACAGTCTGCCATTTTGTAAACAAGACAAAAGCCTGATAAGCGCCGCTGGGAAGGGAGCTCATAAAAATATCAGCCTTAAAAAGCCTCGTATAAAATATTATTTTATTTCTTTCCTCACCAAGGTCAAACGCAACAACAGAATTAAACGCATAAATTCTGCGGCGAACAAGAGTTAAATTGAAGGAAAAACGGAATGCGCTTGGGGAAAATACTTTCACAAAGTGAAGAAAAGAGGGAAAATGTTTCTAGGTGGCTAGAAAGGAATTCAGTAACAAAAAATATAAAATAAAAGCAAGAAGAGAATCGAAATGAAATGCGTCGGCCAAAAGAAAGTGGGGAGAGCAATTGAATTGACCCAAATGACCATTATGGGTGGCAAGTTGCAACTGCAACAGACACTGTACACTGTCTCTCAATTGAATTTCGTGGAAAAGGAAAAGTTGATTGACTTTAAATGAGGCAAGATCGAACAACATGCAGCAGCCAGTTGCCACAGCTCAAAATGTGTCATCAAGTTCCGCTTGGAATTTTCTATTAACTCCGCTACTCGGTATAATAAATACGCAACACATTTATTGATATTATTATATATTATTATTATTTATCAATATTGATTTTTTGAGGGAGCAATATGAATTGGGCTTAGCCAATCCATGTGAAAAGAGGCCTACAATTCATGGAAGTTTTAAACTTATCGCAATGAAGCATTGTGGATGGTCTCGTTATTTATCAAAGATACACATCCTTTCACATACACATCATTCTACGATAGCCAATTCCTAAGATACTTTTTTTATTAGGGCTGGCAACAATATTGTCTGTTAGCCACAAAATACTGACTTTAGGCAATCAAAATCATTGAAACTTTTATTTTGACTGATTGCAAAAGCGATTATAAGCTCGATTAGATTGTTCACTTGAGATAAATTCGATTGTTCATTGCGAACAAGACATAAACTACGAATTTCAATGGTTTTCCATTCATAACGCGCACCACAGTTCATTTCAGTTCATTGAAAAAGACTCAAAAGCAATTGTCATCTCTCGGGATTGTTCATTGTTTTAAGAACTGTCTTTTAATTGGGTCTAAATATAGGATCCTCCATTGAAATGCATGCCATCTCAGTACAAAGCAAATTCAATTCAATTGAACTAAATTTGTACTTCATGCCGAGAATGAAGAAGGAGGGCCACTTGATTGAATTGTATCTTTTTTGTGAGCATGGCGCCCCACTCGAACATCTTTTCGCTGGGCTTTTCGTGTTTCTTGAGCTATTTATGGATTGCTGAGACTTGAGACCTTGCCTAATCGAGATTAAGAATGGACCATCTTGGAAAAAAAGCGACTCTTTTCATGGTCAAAAGTTTAATAAAGCTGAAGGCTCAGCTCATGACGTCTGCTGCCGTTTTTTTTTTTAATTTTTGCCTGATAACACTTTTTTTTATGAACATTGGTTGCCCCTTTGTGAAGATTAACGATTTCATGTTTTTCAACGTCTTATCAATTTTTCGCTGAAAATTTTAATCTGTTTTTTGTGTTCAAATATTGACTAAATCGTTGTATTTGTAAATGTTTAAAGTAAGCTAGAAAAATTAATTTATTTCAAACTTACCATTGCCTGCTCGATTTTGTTATCAATCGCAACTGCACTTGTTCCAGATGCACTGAAATAAAGGAGTAAATAGTTATTACAAATGAACAGATAAGTAATACAAGTTACAAATGTCTTTTTGCGTTGCTTTTTATTTTTGCAAATATAAGCTAAGCTTCCATCAAATATTAATAGCCCCTCATCAACTAACATCTCAATTAAAAACGAATCAAATTCCTATTTTTACTGCCTACTTTCTGATTAACGAAAACTTTAGCTGAAGACCTTCGAATGGAAGTTATTTTTGGCGATCCGACCTTGCTGATGACAGCCGAAAATTGAGGTCAATATGACAATAAAACTTCCTCTACTTCGCAAAAAGAAATAAAAAAACCGCCAACTCCGAATAAAACGCAAATCTCCCCATCTAATTGCAATGCCAAATGAGCAATTAAGTTGTCATAAGACAAAAGTGAAAGATGAATGGTTTGATGGTATGAAAGGTGCACAGACATTTTGATTGAATTTAAATCCGATGTAGTGAATTTTATGCAACCAAATCGGGTTTTCCCCGTGCCACCACTATTTGATCAATATGGGCATATTTCTTTAATTATTGAGTGCAAGCAAAAGTGCAAATTATTCCATTGCCCGGTCGATCGATTGACAAACCATTATGTAACTCTGAAGGAGAGTAGAAAAGACGCAGGAAATGATGTTATGTAAAATACTAAATCAATCGATTCGTTGCTTTAAGCATTCTGGTATTTTAAGAAATTTTGAAACAAGTGTAAATAAAACTTTATCAACAAAGTGGTATTGCTTCTTTAAGATACGAAGTGCAAAATAATATTGTGTTATTCCATCAGAAATCAATCAGAAATGGTATATTGTTCATATCTAACTGTCCCTTACGTTATCAAATGAATTGGATATGTGCTTCAGAAATGCCTGCCATACGCAATAGCTTCTAATAATAGATATTGCACGATACAATGGAGTGTGTCATCAGGGTAGATGGCTATAAGATAGTTACACCAATGTGAAATAATAGAGTAATGAGTCATTTGAAATCCATATCTATACGGTTGCCAAAATTGCCAAATGCCCTGGGCATGTAGGAAATAAATCTATAAGAAAGAACATAACAGGGATGTATGAATATAAAAATGGTTTACAATTCTTGGCAAAACACACATTGCTAATTATTTGTATCCAGGCATTTTGAAGCGTTTCATTCTTCACTTAAGTGTGACAAAAGCAAACCCCAACGATTGCAAATGCACTTTTATGATAAACACATCGTGATGTTGATGCTTTTGCTGAAAAGCCATCAATTAAAATGAAATGGAATAGTATCGTGCAAAATAATTAAAGTCTGTGGAAGAAGACGGTTGGTTGGGCAATCAAGAACGAGCGGCGGGCCAGAATTATGAGTGTTTCGTATTCGAAAGCCGACGGGCAGTGAATACTTGTGAGTATTCCCCCTGAGTCAGCCGACAAGGACGAAAGCCGGCAAGTTTCTTAACCTGCGTGGAGGAGTCAAGGGAACTTAGTTTACGACTTTCCATATCATCTCTCGCCTTGCCTGGGAAAAACAAGACGGGGGAAAAAGTAAAAGTCTCGCCTTTGCATCCACACGCATGAGTACGGGTGCAATGACTCATGTCGTGACTTTTGTTCTCTTTCTTTGGGCTATGGGCACAAACAAAAGGCAGAAAAAAATAAAATAACAATTATTCGCCAATGTCATTTTGGACATCGGTCAACGGCGCCATTGTTGCTGTAGTTGTTTTCGCTGGACACGCGGAGTTTTTGGCGAAAATTCGCTATTCGCATGCCCATTAAATTTAATTCGTTCGATAATAAAGTGGGGAGCAATTTGAACAAATAACACACTCAATTATTTGTAGGTGAATGGGTGCATTAATTACACCAGGATTCGGCACAGTGAGGGGAACTGTAAAGTACTCATTAAAATGCACTTCAGAAATCACTCTTAATTGAATACTAGTTAATTGAATTTTGAGCTTTAAAGTTAGATGTAAGCAAACTTGAATTTAAGGAAAATGTTTAGTTCAATAATGAATTACTGGCTCCCAGACTTGGATCGATAATCAAAAAGTCATTGCTAAGTTAGTAAACTATTGCACATTTGGCGTTTTGACTACCGACTTTGAGATACTGTTTTGATAGTTTCCAACTACTCTATTCAAACCATAACAATCGTGCACAGCTGGCGGCCGCAAGACCATCATTAGAGCATCTATTGTTGCTTTGCTTCGTTATCATCTCGGCAGGTGTTATCAGCATGAAGTCCAGCAAATAATATTAGACATGGTAAAAGCATGAAAGTACAGGCAAACAAAAATAAAGAAAGAAAAACGAAAAAAGGAAGAAACAAAATCACGCGGCGAACACCAATAATATATACATATATTATTTTTTTTCTTTAAGTAAAAAAAAGAGCAAAGTGAAGAAGAATAAACAATACAGTGAGGAAAGAAAGTGCAAAGTTTATTAGGGTTCAAAAACCGACATCGAACGCACGTAAAAATATCAGTGATGTCATTTATTTATTACTTTTTTGCTTCAGCTTTTGTGCTAATTTAAATATAACTTGTTTATTTTATGTTCGGCATCTTTTAGTTTCGGCAGCTAGTGAGCTAACTAGAGTTTCGGTATCAGAGTTCTGCTATCACATTTCCTTACAAACTTACTGAGTAATAGGTAATTTACGTTTCTGTATTATGTTGCAGTTGGCGTGTTGGCGCCTTTTAGAAACGTGCCACTTTTTCTTTCTTTGACGCGCCGAATGAAAAGTAGTTTCCAATCCAAATCCAATCGAAACGATCTGATGCGATCTGAAGCGATCTGATAGCTGTGAATGAAAGTCTGGCCAATTGCCAGGCTAATCCCTTGAAGAATGTCGCTGCTCTTTGCCATTTTCCCACTGGCTATTTTCATTCAAAATATCATGATACGCCGGCGACTTTTTGTGCGAATCACACGGCTCAAATTGTTCTAAGTGTTTCCGAAATTTTAAACTTGCGGATGGCGACTCTGCAATTCTCCCTAAAAATACAAATTGCTTGCCCAGCAAACGACCTCCGCTGACTTGGCAAAATCGAACAATGCATAGTAAAAACAAATATCGAAATTGTTGTCAGGCCATTGCTGATGTAAGCGAAACGAGAATTTGGCATACATATGAACATTCGTATGTACATCATGCCATCCTCGCCATTTCGAAGCCGTCGATGATTTCCCCTCACTGGCGTGGCATATTTGTGAAGTGTTTATTTGCATTTGGGGCTCTGAAAAGTCGGGAACGATGACACTGAGTTTACGACTCCAGGAAGTTGGCGAACGCAAACAAAACACATCGTACAAAGTGTTCAGCAAAATAGATGCAAAAACGATCGCAAAACGGGAAATGAATTTATAGCAAAGTTTCAGTTGCGCATTCAGATGCACATAGGCTCTGAATGAAATGTTTATCATATTCCGAATATACATATGTTTTGTACGTGTTTCAATAAACAATTATACTCGTACATAGCGGCAAATACATAGATTAAATTACTGTGCAAAACATAATTAAAGGAACCATGTGCCCCTGACCCAAATAAAACCGAATTCGTGAAAAAGTACACAAATGAAATAAGAGTCTATATATAGGAACGGCGAAAAAAAGGGTTGCAAGGAAAACAAAAGGCGGTTTTGAAAAACTGCCTGAAAAGAGAGTCGATAAAGAGTAGACAGTATGGAAATGGAAGTCCAAGACCAAGACCGGTTCAGTTGAGCCGCCTTATTGTAGGAAGCCTTAAAGTGCCAGCGAAACCAGCGAAGAAATGTCGCCAACTTGGCAGGCTTCATGGCAAGAGGCGCGTGGCAGCCTGCTCCTCGACGCGCCCCCTCTTCACCGAATCTTCCACGCCCATGCAAACGCAAACTTGCAACAAGTTGCCTAACTGGACGTAACGGACAAAAACAAAATGGGGTCAGTGCAAAACAAAAAATAGTATTTTATTCAACTAACGATGCGATGCGTTGGCCCGTTTTCCCGGTGATGTAAGGCTCCCCATAGACAGGAAGCGGCCAGCGGCCAGCAACCAGTCTTCCACACATAATTCGATTATTCGGTACAGTTTAAAGTGGATATGTCAAGCGATTTTCCAGCGCCAAGCCACTAGGAGATCGGAGATCAGTGTCTTAAGTGCCAGGCCAAATAAAAATCCGTTTAAATTCATTTGCACGGCTACCATACTGGTCACCCAATACCCGGCGAGATCAACCATTTATGCACATATATATTCTCTTATTCAACGCACACTTCATTTACCAATATCTTTAGAGTAGCCGCCGACTTATCCAACCGATAAATATTTATGTGTGCTTATGAAATCAACACTACAACCCACCGATATTTATCAACGCCATCCACAACTTAGCACCCTCAAGTAAAATTGCCATACTTAGATCTGATAAAAGATCAAAGCTCAGCTGCGTTGCCATGCACGGGGTATAATATAGGGCCCATTATGGAACTTCATGATGTCTGGGGCTCGCTAATTGGTTTTCTAAGCAGGGAATCACATCAGCTGTGGGTCGGAAGTACATATTTTTGCCATATATGTATTTATAGCCACCTGCGCTCAATTGTCGTTTGCTTAGACGTCTGAAGTCTTGTTTTCCTTTTCCTAGCAGTAGTTCACACAAATTCGCTTAAATTAGCCGCCACCAATTTGACAGTTTACTATAAGCAGCCCTGAGAGACATCTAAAATTAGTCATCACTTGGTTTGTCAATAATGATGTACAACCATTTTCTGATTTTACTACGTTTTCTACTAAGCGCTATGAGTACTGTGCCACAAAACTTGATGCCTTTATGGTTGGGGTTGGGTACCAATTAAAATCTAGTAGTTACATGTAGTAACAATTTCAAATAAAATTACCCTAGATAATGCTCACCAGCTTCAAAGTATCCATAAAGATATCCTAGGTGTTATAGTTTATTATAAGAACTTTAATCTGGCAGTACAGCAGTATTTCGGATCTGAACAAAAAT